TATACCAAAAAACCCCCATCAAACTGCTTTCAAAACACCAAGCACTGTATCTTCTCTTTTCCCTCAGAGCCTTCACATGCACCTTGAGCATTCTGAGTACTGAGGCCAAAAAATTCACCTCCCAAATGTCAGAAAACACTGTTACTGGAATTTTAAAAAAAAAAAAAAAATCAACAGCTTAACATTTTAACAAAAATTTGTTTAGTCATTGATAAATATCTCTCAGATAACAAAATACACAGAGGATTAAACACAGCTTTCTGTAAGAAGCATGAATTTTCAAGCCACTTAACACCTTGCAATCGAAGTTGTTTTGAGCAAAACTGATTATCTCAGTCTGCCAGTAAGGGATGACAAAGCTTTTAGAAACCACCTTTCATCCGTGTATCTCAAACCCAACTCACCCAGAGCAAGAGCCACTAAATGAGACCAAAGGCCACAGCTCAGGCTGTGGCTGATCAAGTGTCCCTCCATCCAGCAAAAAACCTCAGGGATGTTTAGGCAGTCAATTTTACCCTGAAATCCATGGGAAGCCAGGCTCCAAAGTTCTTGTGGTCCTGGCTTACTGAAATAATGGTGGAAACTGGAAAAACTCCAGTTTCTCTTCTTCTTAATGAATTCTAGTGGATACACTAAATCAATGCTCTCTACCCACACACATTAATAGTGAGATGTGGGCAAGGAAAAGCCCTGGACACACCAGGAAGAGAATGGAGGGGCAACAACTGCAGCTTCTTCAGCAGGAAAAGCAACTGGGGTGGCAGGAGGATGAATGACTCATGGACCAGTAACTGCTGCCCAAATATTGCCTCAGCCACTGACCTCAGCCCAACACAAGACATGCTCAGAACGGTGCAACACAGCTGCAGAAGCAGGACTAAAAGAAAGTAAAGGTTCTTCAAACAGTGATTTTAAGAAGTGGAGATTTGGGAGTATCTTACTTTCTAAACTATGGGTTGAAAGCTGCAGAGCCATATTCCCACACAATATTCCTAGAGGACACCACCAACTCCAGAACTACACATGTGTAAGCACAGAGCAAGGACACCCAGTGAGTAACTTCGGTGCCATAATCATCACCTGAGAACACTAAATACATTCAAATCGTTACCTAATAATACTTAATACTGAGTTTAATCACAAGACAATAACACAAGGAAGTACATCTAAGGCACATACACAAGGCACATTTACCAGCCTCATTACAGTAAACCTGGTAGCATTGGTTTATCAGCTTAAACAATCAGCAGGTAATTAACTGTGCATTTAACAACTAGGTAGCAAAGTTTCTTCCCAGGGAAAATCAGATTGGAAAAGTCAACATCAGCTTAAACACGATTAACTTCCTGTCCCACTGCTGGTAAGGCAAATCCAATTTACTAAATAGTTTAAAGGGCGGGTTTTAATTATTTCACACACTTCCAAAGAATCCAGCACTACACACAAATATGGATAAGCGGATCTGCTGTAGTGAACACAGACCCAGCACCACAAAACACCACTGGAATAAACACCCAAAGCCTTCTTAACGTGCTTAACACTCCCTGCACTTCGAACTGCAGAAGCCCCCGTGGATATTAGTCAGAATCTGTCCAGGACAGAGACCACAAACAGCTGCAGTGTCTACAATGTAATATAGATAATATAAATCCTAACTTGGTGCATCTCTTTCAGACCTCTCCATTACTTCCTATTTCTAAAACAATCTCTAGAAACAAATACACAACAAATAAACCCTTGTAAGTGGTATGTACATATTTCACCTGGTTTCAAGTGGCACACACCCCCCTTCCTCAGGAACAACCACAGACTACCCAATAATCTATACCTCTAAATAAATAAATATACTGATATATAAATATTTATCTAAAATCTCTTACACAGCAGAAACTGGGGGCTCCCAGACAAACGGTGTGGGAGAAACACAGCAAGTTACCCACGGAAGTAGAAGGATTCAAATAAGCAGCTCACAGTTTTCTTGCCTCCCTACACTTTTTACCTAATACAGTAATTAAAAATTGAAAAACTGAAGTTTTCCAACTTTAATTGTTCGGCAGCAAATACAACCATTTGGTTTTAGCTACAACATGGATTCAAAAAAACCAACGCAAAACAAACAAAACCCCCACAAAATTAACACTGAAAAGCAACTGTTTCACTCAAAGCGGCTCAGAATTGCTAAATAAATGGCTGCTGACCCACAGCATCACATCCTCGGGTTACAGAGTCTCCAAACTGTGGTTGGCTGGAACGCCCGATCTGCATGACAATAAGGACAAAAACATGGCTCCTCTCGTGCCCTCGGTGTGCACATCCCTCCTCTCCCACCGGCCACAGCCACAGCCTGCTCAGAGGATTAGCATAAGAATAGAAATCACTGGGAAAATCCACAGGCTCCAACTGCCCAGACTTGCTGACCTGCTTCACCCCAGACACCGACATGACTTATTTTTCCAAGGATAATTTATGGTCTTGAAAAGTTGATAAACACTTCGATTTGCTTCTCTTTTACTACAATATCAAGCAGCAGTCACAAGTATTGAGGCCATGTTGCTGAGAACACAGCTGCGTTGGGCAGGGCACGTCTCAAGGATGAAGGACCACTGCCTCCCTAAGATCATGCTCTATGGTGAACTTGCCCCTGGTTGCCGCAAGAGAGGAGCCCCGAAGAGGAGATACAAGGACTCCCTGAAACAACATCACAGCCCTGGCCATATTGATCAACATAACTGGTCTACTCTGGCCTCCAATCGGGAGGTGTGGAGACACAACATCTATAACGCTGCTGATGCCTTTGAGAACGCACGCAGGATCACCCTTGGGAGAAAAGACAATGCAGAAAGAATCGTGTCTTGCAGAACATACCACCTAAGGAGTCTTTCTGCTGTGCCTTTTGCAGTTGGACGTGTCTATCTCGCATTGGCCTTTTTAACCACCAACGCGCTTGTAACAAACATGGGCAGAGCCCTCCCCAAATCTTCGTTCGCGAAGCCGAGCCACGATGATGACTACAATATCAGATATTCCAAGGGCAGCTGCCAGAGCCGAGCAGTGACTCTGACACTGTCCACAGACATCCCACGAGCTCACCCTCAAATTCCTGCTCAAGTCTGGTGAAGAAGAATGGGGCAGTCGGGATCCTCCTCGGCTCACACCTACTTCGTAAAACCCAGAAAATCAGGGAGCTCAGCAGCTTGGCTGGCCCAAGATGCTGCTGCAGCACACGAGAGGCTGAAAGCAGAGCCAGGAGCTGCAGGTGAGGAGCACGCCCGGGACAGGACCTGGCCCTGTGACACCTCACCTGACAGAAGCCACCTGTGCTGACAGTCCCACGGGAGCAATCCCAGGGTTCTGCAGCCAAAATTCACACATTACCTACATCTTTTTATACCTTCTTCCCTTTCTGTCCTCACCCTGGGACCAGCCAACAACTGTGAGACAACAGCTCTTGCCTTGGTCACAGCCACTGGAATCAGAACTACTACATGGAAAAGAATATTTTGAGGAAGTGTGAATGAAAATAATCCCCTAGTTCATGAAAAGGCCAACATCTTCCTCTTATTTGTGCAGAGCAGGATACAAAGGCCAAGGGAACCCATTCTAACTCTCCTACACAAACTCTTCTAGCCATAATAAAGTATGAAAAACATCATTTATTTTTGGAAGTATGGATATTGGGCTCCTGCAAAACACACTGAATTTTTGTATAAACATATTGCTGTATTTGACGTGTTTGTTTTGAAATTGGGGAAGTTGACTGGAATCATACCCATAATGTGGTCTGACACTTCATGCAAAACAATGTATTCAAACAGCAAAATGACATTTCCTTTACAGATGTTCATAAAAGAACCAGAAGCCCAGGGAGAAAGGGCCAAAGTAGCTCTGCTCCCCTTTTTTTTTAGATTTCCTCCACTCCCCCCTTCGGGATCTTCTCCCCAGCCAGTAAGTCACCACTGCAATCCTTCTCCCTTAAATCCAACATCACCATCATTCCCCTCACTCTGCATTACACAAACAGATGATTAAGAACTGGGATCCTGATATTCCACAACCCGTCCGCTGAAAGTGGCACAAAACCACTGCAACATCCAGCTACAAACCAGACATAAAACCTAAAACGATTCCCCAATGATGTTTCTGATGACTTGCCTCAGATGCTCTTTGTTTCTTCAAAAACTCAACAAATACACTTTAAACAAACAAATCCCACATTAAGACCACAAGCTGAAAGACTGACCAATAATTTGCTTCTGGCAATGGACTAATATTTCTGCACCTCATGCATGGAGCAAATACCACAGTAACACTTTCAGTTCTGTTTCCCTAAATAAAAGTGTTTGCATTTTCCCAGACTGACTCCTTTCCACCTTTATTACCTCAATCACTATATGCCCTCAAGGACTAAAATTTCGATTGTTCCAGCTGGTTCCGTGTTCCAGCATTACAAACCCATCAGCTCTACACGTGTACCCTGGTAAGGCACAAGCAACCTCCAACAAGTCTCATGAAAACAAACCAGTCCAAGCACAAGAACTATTTACTTGCTCTTTTATCATAAAGAATACGTAATGTTTTACTTCCCAGTCAAAATAAGTTGTTCACTCAAGGCTAACCTGATTTTGCAAATCTAGAATGAGAAAACATCTGTGCAGCAGGAAAGAAATCACACGTGCAGGGTATTTGTTCCTATTCTGCAAAAGCTCCAACCTCAAACACTTGAAATGGATTTTAAGAGTCCTGGAACTCACTCGATCGGTTCATGTCAAAGAGGAGTGTCTGGTCACCTTTGGATAATACACTTAGAGCTCTTCTTGAGATGAAATGGCATGTTTTAAGCTTCTACCTTCTTGTTTTTCCACCCATTTCTCTCAATTGCATTCTTCTAGAGCCAGAACCAACCAACACAACAAACTGGACGTCCCTGTCCAAAGTGCTGTTTGCTGCACCAGCTCGTGTGGAAAGTGCAGGGATGGAACAAAAATTGACTCATTCCCATCACCTCCTTACAATCCACCAGCCATCGGTCTGGTTTGGAGCAGCTCTTAGAGACGGAGAGAGGTTCCCAGAGGAGAACGGAGCGGGACGCACCGTTTGTAGAAGGAAACAGTGCCGCAGGTGAGCACACACGGGCGAGTTCCAAAGGTTAACCGACCTTTTTCCCAAGTTCCCCCTGCTCAGGGTCCAGACGCGTTATGGATCCTTCCCTGCGAGCCCTGACTCCCCACGCACCGCTCGGTTCCCGGCGCTCCGGCGGGAGCTCCCCGCGGGGTTGGGGTGGAAGGTGCCCGGGCACGGCAGCACCTGTTGGGCGAGCCCCGCGTGTGCTGGGCAGGGACGGCCCCGGACACGGCCCCACGGAGAGCACAGCGGAGCCGACACAAAGCCCAGACCCGCGGGGGACGGCACGGGCGGGCTGAAATCCCCATTATCCTTCCAGCCTTCCTTCCCACCGATTATTCCCGGCCCACAGGCGAATTCATCCCGCTCGGAGCGCCCCGGCCGAGCGGGAAGGGCGGCGGGAGCGGGGCGTGGGGAGCCACGAACCGAACAAAAACCCACCGCGACGGCGCCGCGGGCGCTCGGATTGGGGGTTATTTTCCATTTTTCCCCTCTCCCCGCGCCCCGCCATGGCCGCGGTCCCCGTGCCGCGATGCCGCTCCCGCCCTGCGCTCACCTCGCTCCGCCGCGGGGGCCCGGCCCGGGCGCCCCGACCGCCGCTCAGCAGCCCCGGCCCGCCGGCACCGCCATGGCCGCGCCTGGGGCCGCAGGGCACGAGGGGCCGGGAAGGCCGGGAGGGGATGGCGCCGGCACACGGCACACGGCACACGACAGCCGGCACCGACACTCGGCGCTCGGTACCGGCACACGCCCCCCGCACACGGCTCAGGGAAGGGCGGCGGGGCCCATGCGCGGTGCTGCTCCCGCCGGCTCCGCCCCAGCCGGGAAGGGAAGGGCGGGAGGAGCCGCGGACGGAGGGAGGGAGGGAGGGAGGTGAGGGCACCGGCTTGGGCTGGACGGGGTCTGATCCCTCCCTGAGAGCAGGGGGGAGTCAGGTGGGGAGTCGGGCTCTGCTCCAAGGTAACCGCGACAGAAGAGGATACAGCCTTAAGCTACGCCTGGGGAGGTTCAGGTTGGACATCAGGAGGGATTTCTTCACAGAAGGGGTGATTAAACATTGGAAGGAGCTGCCCAGGGAGGTGGTGGAGTCCCCCCATCCCTGGAGGTGTCTGAGGAACGACTGGCCATGGCACTCAGTGCTCTGGGCTGGGGAACAAGGGGAGCACAGGGTGGACTCGATGGTCTCCGGGGTCTCTTCCAGCCTCAGTTGTTCTGGGATTCAGGGACCAAAGCCACAGCACCTGGGCTGCTGTGATGGGGAAGCTGCAGGTCTGTTTCCCTTCAGTTTGGGGAATGTGTCCCTTCAGTGTGGGGGACGTTTCCCCTCAGTTTGGGGAATGTGTCCCCTTGTTTTGCGGGATGTTTCCCCTCGGTGTGGGGGATGTTTCCCTTCAGGGAAGCACTGCCTGGTGTGCCTGGGGTTTGGGGTCAGGCTGGGCAGGGAAGAGTTTGTGTCCATGTGATGGCTGAGGAGGAGGGTGAAGGTGGTGGGGTTATTTCAGGTTGGAAGGGACCACCTCCCTGCTCCAGCAGGGCCATCGCAGACCGCATGGCACAGGATTGTGTGCAGATGGGTCTGGGATATTCCCAGTGAGGGAGACTTCACACCCTCCCTGTCCAGCCTGTTCAGTGCTCGGTCACCACACAGTGAAGTTCTTCCTTATGTACATGTGGAATTTCCTGGGCATCAGTTCCTGCCCGTGGCCTCTTGTCCTAGTGGCTGGCACCGCCAAGCAGAGCCTGGTCCATCCTCTGGCACCCTCCCTTTAGATATTAATACACATGGATGAGGTGTGTTTTGGGTCAAGGGATGGAGGTGTGTGAGGTGTTGAGGCTGGTCCAGGGGCAGCAGGAGGGATGGAGCTTGGCAGGGATGTGCAGTGGCCTCTGTGTGTGCTCTGTTGAAGCTATGGCTGCTCCTGGCACAGAATCACAGAATGGTTGGCGTTGGAAGGGACCTCTGGAAATCATCCAGTCCAACCCCCCTGCCAAGGCAGGGTCACCTGGAGCAGGTGACACAGGAATGCGTCCGTGTGGGTTCTGAATGTCCTGTGAGTGTTGGAGGGAAAATACTCAAAAACTTGCCAAAGAAGTCCTGAGGTTTGTTTGGGTCTGTTTTACTGTGTCTAGGCATGCTCCCTCTCTGAGGGGTGGGTCCCAGCCAGGAGGGATGGAAACCGGGTACCTGCCTGCACTAGGGCCTTCCCACCTCCCTGTGGTGGTGCAGATCCACAGAGGTGTTTTGCTGCAGCCACAGGATATGTTCACCCATGGACAGGCCACTTGCACACCCTGTTCACTGTACAAAGCCTTGGGCTCTGGTTGAGCTTCAGATATATTAAACATAGTCTTGAGTGTTGCTTTATCAGCAAAAGTTAATTCACACTTTTAAGTGGGGTTTAAGTGTTAACCACAAACTTCTTTCTCCAGATAAGTGCCTCTTTGAATGCAAGGACCTGCAGTGCTTTAGTGGAGGATCTTTTTGATAGAGCCATTATCCCATGTTGTGTTTCGATAGCTGACCCTAAACCACTTCATAATGTGCTTTATAAGCTTTATTAGCATGTCCAGAAATACACAACTGGAGTTTGCTGTCAGCAGGCAAAGTGCAAACCCCTCCCTGAGAATTGTGCCATTTGGTGGCCACAGAGGTTACAAATCTGATTGCTGCTCTGTGTTTATTCCATCCTCAGTGGCACTGCAAGGCACTTATCCTGGGAGCACTCCCTGCCTTTGGCATGGACCCAGGGGCACAGCGTGAGGAACGTGGGGAGGTGTTGGGGATCATGGGTGTTACTGTGCATCTGGAATTCATGGGAGAGCTGTGGGATGTGCTTTGTCTCAGACACGGGGTGACAGCCACATTTGCATTGCAAAAACAAATATAAAATTGCCCACTAGATACACTTTCAAAAATATTTTAAATGAGAGACATAGTTGAAACTGTTCCACGAGCTGGATTTGATGCTTTCTGGTTCTCATTCCATCTGTGAAACACTGTCATATGTAATCTACATTAAGGCTCTGCTGATACCAGCTCTCCATTTGGATAAATGATACCACTCTGTGCTAATGTATTGGGTGGCTAAGAAAGGCAAGCCTGGGCATGCACAAGTTCTGAGTTGTGAGCTTTAATTTAAAAGATTTGAAGAATTTCTAGTTGTTGTGACAAAAATTTTTCAGAGCCTGCTGTGAGTAACTGATGGTGACTATAAATGTGCCGAGTCTGGAACAATAGCTCTGAGACATGTGAACTGCTCCGTGTCAGCATATGCTGTGCCAGATGCCAACAAACAAAACTGGAGAGAAGAACATTGCTGGGGCTGGGGCTCCAACAGGAGACAGCAAAGGAGACATTCAGAGGAGACAGCAAATCATGAAGATGTTACACAGTAGCCCCTGAAACAGGGAATAGCGTAATTATGTGGGCTAATAAACAAAAGAGGATGGAGAAAATACACAAATTACAGTGATGACAAGGCAAAATGATGTGATGCATTGTGCTACCTACAGCTCTGATCCTGTCAAACCTGACTAGGGAATTAGGATGAGCCGGACAGTCCCTGCAGGGCTCACTGCTGATAAACCTCGGGTGCCAGAGCAGTTTGTTGGCTCCATATTTAGGAGACAGATTTAGTGGGGTGTGAGGAGGTGATCCCTATCTATCTATCACTGATTTGGGTGACTTTGAAATTCCTGGATGAAAGATACCCAGAGCATCCCAAGCAGCTGAGCCTTTCCCTCTGCAATAGATGCCATCACCTCTCTTTTGTGGTTTTACTTCTTCCTTATTTTGACTGGCTGCCGCTATGTGATTTCTGCAAGGCTTGTTTGTTGCTCTTCCCGAGCAGAGTATTTTTCATTAGTCTTGTCTAACTAAAAACAAATGATGGGCTGCATGTGGGAATGCAGCTTGGGAAAACTGGAGATCAAAGGGAGGTCCTGACTCAGTGCTGAGAATCCCGGCTGCATTTCCCTTTAACTGCCTCCCACCAAGCTGTGCCTGGTGATTTGGAGCTCACTGCCTTCACTTTTGTGTCTGAACATCTTTCCTTAAAAAAAAAATAAATAAAGGGAGAATGGTTTCCCTTCTTCTTTCTGTTTCTTGTCAGTCCTTGCTAATTTTCTGGAAAACTTTAATGGCTCTTCATGAGGCCAGGAAGTGCTTCCACTGGAATGACCAGTGCAGAGCCCTGGCATCCAGCTCCCCCAAACAGGAAAGGACTGATCTGAGTTGCTTCAGCCCTTGCCAGTTATAGGTTGCTGTTGTGTGTCCAGAGGGCCTGTCTGCCCTTTCCATGGATCTGAAGGTCACTCAGCTCCATCACCTCATCAGCAAGTCAGCCAGGGCTTCCAGGAGCAAACTTTCCCCAGGGGATGAGAGAGAAGGATGTGGCCAGGTGTCAGTTCCCTCATGTCTGACTTTTCAGTTTCACCTTTAATAACTGCTGCATATTTATTTTTTACCGAGGATATAAATTTTTTTCTCAAGTGAGGACTTTTTGATCCATGTGATTATCTTTTTCCACCTTTTTTTTTTTTTTTTCAGTGAGGAACAAGACTAGAGAAACTGAAGAAGGAGATTTTGCCTCACTTGGAATTGTTGGACTTTCTAGGGGTGGCTTTTTTGCCTGGGAATGTCAATGGCAAGATGCCTCTGCTGATATAAGCTCTAGAGATCAGCTCTCTGCTGGCTGATGCAGAGTTTAGTTCTGGTTTACATCAGGTTGTGCTTTGAGAAGATGTTCATGTGACATAACACTGTATCTTTCCTCCCTTTACTTCATGTTCTGTTTCTCTTAAATATTTTCCTTGGAGTGAAATGATAAATATTTAAGAAATCAGTTGCACTTGGAGACTTCTGAGCTTTCTCTGTTTGTTCTGAGAAGATGCTGATGCCAAGCAGTACTGGGCTCTGTTTACAAAACAAACCACGACCACAACAAAGACTCGTGAAAGAAAAAAAGGTGAGGAAAGGAAGAGTGAGAGACAACGTATTTCTGTTCCTGAAAGCTGCTTTGCATTTCCCTAGCACCTTTCTTCCCAGTGTTTCAGGGCACATCACAAGCATTAGTCATGGCTCACACTGGATTTGGGAGAGGAGTGAGGCAATTCCTGTCACGCTTCGGAGAACGAGTCTCCAGGATATCTATAACCCAGGAGACAGGCAAGTCCTTCCCGCAGTGGGGTTGCTGGTCACTGCTGTATGTTCAGAGAGCCCGTTTTATGGGTTGCTGAACTGGGGCTCCTGGATAAATCCTGCAGAGAATCTTTATGAAGCTAAACCAGGAAAGGTTTTGCCGTCAAGAAAAGAGCATCAGTACAATTAGTTTCATTAACTTCAGTTTTCAAGTAATCTTCATTTCAGCTGGAAAAGGAAGGAATTCAGTTAGGGCTGGGATATCAAGTGTGAAATCTTTCCTCTGTTGAAGGCAGTAGGAGCATTGCTATTGACGGTTGGAGCCAGGCTCTTTCCCAGAAGTAGATATTAATGATAAGAGCAAGAGATTTCATCCAAGTCACTTCAGTAGCAAATCTGGCATGTTTGAGAGGACTCTGCGGGAGGGGAGACAAAGGCTCTGTCATTACCAATATCCCTACTCATGTTTTTAGAGAATAAATACATCTTTTCCTGGCAATGGGTGTATTGACTCTGTCTGGCTCATTGCTCAACTGGTCACTCTGCGACAGGCTGTGCTCCCTTCCCCAATGTTTTGTATTCAGACATCTCAGCTCATATTCATCAGCTATAGGAGAGGGATTACTTCCTGCGGTATTTTATGGCTAGAATATTTTGTATTTTGAAGTATGAGTATCTCCCTGACTCATGTAGGACAAACCCACCATATCTCTGTTATTAAAGCTACTCCTCCTTGGGAAAGGAATGGGCGTGGTGTGTAGAACATGAGAGAGAGATATCACTGTGTGACTACCTGGCTCCTTTCTGTACCTTCTACGGGGACAAGGCATAAGCATTTGTCACTGATGATGCTGCAGCTTGTTGCTGTTGGGTGATGTTTTCCAGAAGGAGTGATAAACAGGAAGATCTCTGAATGATGTGGTCATACCAGGTGTGAGATGGATATGCATTGTGTATGGTCAGCAGCAGAGGTAAGTAACTCAGAGATTTTACTGAGGGTTAAAGAGCTCCGGTGGGGATGATCCCTGTTATCCCCAAGGTTAAACAGCCCCCAAATTCCAAAGAATAGCTGATACAGACCCTTTAATTGGGTACATTTCTGTACACATGCACAGCTCTGTGAATGCAAGTGACTTCTGGCCTCACAAAGATAAGCATTCAGAATAACTGAGATCAGATTTTTAATGAACCATTCATTTAGACTATTTAACACAGAAATTACCATCCTCTGAAATGGCTTGGCTGAAATAGTCATTGCATACTCAAAATACTTGCAAACAGCAGTCTAAATTTGCAATATTCTATAGCCTTCACCCCAAGAATTGGACACTTTTCCACCCTTTTAAAATTATTACTATTCTGTCACCCCTGTGGAGAACATTGTGTTTGGTTATAGGAGGCAATGAGAAAGATTAGAATAAATTGATTTTTAAAGCCTTGAACCTCTTAATGTTTACAAAATAGTCTCTGGACCTGTGCATATGTAAAGTTCAGCTGTGTATAAATACAAGCAGAGCAGAATATTACTTTCTCTTCCAGCCTGTCTCTTTGATGGGCAAATCCACCCAGATGAGAGCACAGGCTGCCTAGTGGAATTCTTCCACTTACTGGGCTTCTCTTGCGTGCAAATGTGATGCTCTGCTTGGGACAGAGGAAAACTGCTCTTTTGACTGCTGGCTCTCTAATCCTCCCTTTATAGTCTCAGAACTGTTCCTGGAGCTATCCTGCCATGAAGCATCTGTGAAATCAAGTGACTCGTTGGGTCAATCACATGGCTGTTTCTCCAAGAGCAAACATCATTCCAGCTGCTCTGACCTTGGTCACAGGGAAGCAGGAATGTGTGGCAACTCTGTGCTTGTTCACACAGTTTCCCTCTTTAACCCACTTGTGCCAAATTTTCCTGAAGTTTGCAGACTTGCCATTGTTTTGGTATAATCTGGCAGACCCCCCAGCTGTGGGATGGGTGTTGCACCATCGGTTTTCCAAGTGGTGTGGGTGGAGAACTGCCTCAGCTTGCTCTGGGAACGAGAGCAGAGACTGAGGAGTGAACAAAGCAGGGGAGAGGGGCCCTGCAAGGCTCAGCACTTGTGCGCTCCTGTGACTTGCTAAACAAGATCTCTGTGGAATAACTTGATACTTGGATGCTTTTTCTATGGAGAATGGACCTTGGGTTTCAGAATTTGGTGTGAATTAAGACATACAGTGTTATACCCACCCTGGGAGGAAAAAGCTAGAAAGAACAATGAACTTAAAACATCAGAGCACACCAGTGAGTAAAGATATAGGCTGAGGGAAACCCAGCAGTGTCCTGGGATCCAGCTGAGAAAGGATATCCAAGGCACTTGGATATGGCCATCAGACTTGCAGGGTAGAGCAGCCTCTGCCTTGTTTTCACAGACACTGATTTGATGCTGCTCCCCACCATGTTTCATGCAAATTTTGTTGTGTAATAATTTGTAAATGTATGACTGTATGTGGCCAGAGCTGCCTGTTTCTATTCATGTCTCTCCATCGCCTGGAGTGAGGGAACATGGCAGATCGGAGCAGGCCTGAGGTTTAGCTGCTCAAGCTGGATGAGTATCCTGTGAGAAATGCACTGTATCTTGCATTTTTAATCTTAGATTTTCTCTGTCTCTGTTAGAGAGTGGCTTAACCCCTGATACAGGAGCTGTGACATCCAGTTGTAATATTGGGGCATTTCCTTATACTGGGCATGGGTTGGCTTAGAGTTGGGCTGCTGTAACCCTGAGGGCATGGCATGAAGTCTAGAGGATCTTTAGTTCAGAAAAATGATGATGAGTTGAAGGATGGCTGAAAGATGGTCTGAAAACATCACGGGAGAGAATGTGGAGGTGAACTGATGAGACGGGGAAATCTTAAACCAAAGTGACGCCTGTCAGGGCCGGACCTGGGCTGAGAGCTGAACTCTGCATCCCGGCTGGACCCAGGGAGTCACATTCCTGCCAGGAGGGCGAGGGAAGGGAGACAAAGGGAGGGGCTGCACAGGGCAGGTGCCAGAAATGCCCTCTGGTACCTGCTCTGGAGCTGGGATGGACGTTTGGCATTTGGAGGGGCTCCAGGAGGGCCTGACGGAGCTGTCAGGGGGGGAGCATGTCACACACGATGCAGATGCTTGGCAGCTCTGGCTGATGGAAACTTGTGGATGGTTTTTCCCCTCACATGCACTTTAGACATAGCCACATACAAGAAATCTGTATTTTGGAGAGGAACTAGTGAAATGCATCACAAAGGGAAAGGCTGTGCTGTCAAGAGGGTTTAAGAGCAAGCAGGGCAGAGTGAGACCCAATTATTTTGCTATGTCCCCTATAATCTTCCATTTATTCCTTTCCTGAACTGGAACACTTCCTCTGATCCTTGTGCAATCCTGATGAGTCTGAAGCTCAGCCCACACTGGTGATCATGTGGTGTTTTTGTTGGGTTAATCAGCATGAGGAAAATCACCAAAATTTTTGGTGAAATCTTCATCTACCTTAGAATTCAAGGGCTGAGGCATCTTTTTTGCTGTTCTGTTGTTCACAGAATCAAAGAATATCCTGAGTTGGGAAGGACCCACGAGGATCATCAAGTCCAGCTTGTAAGTGAATGGTCCCTGCAGGGATCAAACCCACAACCTTGGCATTGTTGTTGTTCCAGGGAACTGATCCCACATCTGAGGAGAGATTATTTTTCAAGCTTTTGTTAAATTATTTTTTTTTAATCGCTTTTGTGGTTTTTTTTCTGGTAAACAAACATTCTGTGAAATTCAGGGATGGATAAAACTCTCCAGCAGCTGGTTAGAAGAAAAGCCACAACCGAACCAAGTGCTTTTATTTGGCTGTGAACTCTCCAAAAGCTCAGGGTGGTTACTTACATCAAATGCACAAGCTGGGAATTCTCGTCTTTGTAGACTTACACCTAAGAGAGGAATTTTTATTTTCCTCCCCCACCTCAGAGCTGGGGGAAGCCCAAGTTGATCCTGATTTACAAGAACTATGTAATTACAATCAGCAGCAATAGCTGCCATAAGATCCTGATGCTCAGTGCTGAACAGGAATTAGTGTTGCATATTTATCTGGAGGATGAAAATATCTACAAATATCTATAAATATATTCAGTTATTATTAGAAGAGCTATTTAAATCTTATAGTGGTTGAGTGTCCCAGATATCAACTGAGGAAGCAAGGGAAACCTCCTCTTGCAAATGAGTTACTGGGGAGTGTTTCATCCTGAGTTTTGCTGCTCTAGGGCAGTTTTCCTGGGCAGGGCACTCATTTCAGCTCAGCCATTCATCTCATCTTTCACAAAACTTAGTCCACAACTGTAAATATTTGTGGCAACTTGCCCGTGCTGTGTGACCTTTAACAAAGACAGAAAAGCTCTGGACGGCTGCTGATGTTTTAGGGCACAGTCTTTAAGAAAACTCATTAATGTAGCACTCAACCAGTGGTTATTTGCAGGTTTTTTTTAGAGAAACTTTTCTTAACACAAAATACTTTATGGTCCTTTGTTTATGCAAATAAATGATCCTGTAGGATTTTAATGATCTTACAAGTAAATGTAAGAGTCTTTTAAAGTGACTGTCACCTACTCAGCCCTCACAAGTTACCTGTAGCTTTGGGCCTCACAAAGGTTAACATAGAACTATAAAACTGAAGCCTTTGAAACAGCTCAAAGCTCAGTACTTATCTTCACAGAACTCACAGTACAAACTTACTGAACTACGTAGTAATAATCTAAAACTTCACCCTGATTTTGCTGTACTGAGGGTCAGTTTGTAATATTTCTGCAGTAAAAAACAGAAATCACAGTAATTTTTAAGGGCTGGTGGACCTCCACACATAATTCTTTTAGGCCTGTATAGATATTATTTTACTTAAAGTACCATATAAAAACCTTAATCTGTAGATTAAAGAAACATTAAAGCTGCAAAGTTTAACCTGAATGCACAGATAGAAGACACCAGACAGAAAGCAAGCTGAGGAGATGAACACCGCATTTAAGAGCTGTGCAGTTGGGAGTTGCTGCAGAGCTGGGCAGACACCAGGGCTACAGCACTGGAGGAAAAAGGTGATTGTTGCACATGTCAGAACTTCTGGCTGTTGGCACTGGCCATCCTGAAAGCCTGGAATGGGAGAGGCAGAGATTCTGAGCACCAAGCCAGACTAAAGTGTGAGTTATAGCAGAGAAGGTGATAAGAACTGAGCACAAGAGATGTGGCAACTTCAACAGCAGGTGGGAGATGTTCCAGCTTCTGTACCTACAGGACATAGCAATAACAGGGGGAGTAAAGTTCCCTGGGGATGATTTCTGGGGGAATTGAGCTGGGCTTGTGCTGGGAACCTGCAGCTTAACTTGGCTCTTCCAGACTCTGCACAGCCAACAGAGGCTGTTCTGGCCCGTGGGCACTGGTCAAGGATCCCAGATGAGGGCAGGCAGCATCCCAGAGAGCTAGATGGAGCTGTGAGAGTAGGGACAACCTGGGGGAAAAAAACACTGGAAGGAAGGGAAAGGTTGGGGGTGGCTTTGGGCAATGGGAAGGAGAGAGGAAGTAGGAGAAACAAGCAGGGAATTTTGCTAAAAGGTTCCTTCACTGATTGATTGAACCTACACCGAGGAAAAACTGGCCTTAGGTCAAGTCTGCAGTGCTTTTATGTGATTGCTCTCCCTCTGAGCATCCAGAGTGACAGCTGGGCCTGTGGGCAGCAAACAAGAAAGGCATAAGAAATGTCCCTTCCAAGGACAGTTCCCCGGTATATCCTTTACTTGCCCATCCAGGAGCTGTGGGTCTGTTTTACCCCTGAGGCTCTTCTCTTAGGAAGTGAATAGGAAGTGCACCCACCTCCTTGCATCTGCAAATTTGTTTTTAAATGCTGCATCATCATTTGTGGCACTTTTTTGGAGCTCATTTATGATATGGGAGCTCTCAGCTGTCCCTGGAGTAGAGCCATGTTCCAGCCCCTTGAAATACATGTTGATTAAATATGTAGGTCAGAAAACAGAAAGCACATCCCCATTTGTTTAAGAGATGACAGTTTTGTTGCCTAATGCTTTATCACTGCAGCTCCTGATCATTTTTTGAAAGTAATATAATAACAGCTTTGTTCTCAGCTCAGAGATTAAGGAAGGTCCCCAGATGCTGCTTCCCAAAGGGCAGGTGCAGGTTATGTAGTGACAGGACACAGGGAGTGGCTTTAAGATGAAGGAGGGCAGTCCTAGATTAGGAATTAGGAAGAAATTCTCCCCTGCGAGGGTGGGGAGGCCCTGGCACAGGTTGGCCAGAGAAGCTGTGGCTGCCCCATCCCTGGAAGTGTCCGAGGCCAGGTTGGACGGGGCTTGGAGCAACCTGGGCTGGTGGAAGGTCTGTAATGTCCCTTCCAACCCAAAACATTCTGTGGTTCTGTCATTCAATGGCAATAATTATTAAAAATACCTACCAGGGGATAAGGATGAGGACTATTGGGATAGAAGAAGAATTACTAACAAGCAGCAAAGTCTTCAGAGCAGAATCTCTCTCTGTTTCATGAATGGGTTGAACATAAACCCAAGTGCTTCTCCACAGTGATATCAAACCAAAAATTGTGACTGAAATCCTACTGGCAATTGTTGCCCCTGAGCATTCATTATGGCCCTGTTTTTTTCCTGATCTTCCAGCCCCAAAGGAATTGGCCAGGGAGCTCCTGCTGTCTGGCTGGTTTGTGCTGACTGTCCCTCCCAGCTCTCTGGAGTAGTTCACACAGCACTGAGTGAAAAGGATGCCTGGTCTGACTGAATCATTCCTCATTAGCTCAGTGGGCAGCAGATTTAGGAGCTAGATTTGCAATGAACATTTATTAGATTTTGTCTCTTCTGGGGATAGCTAATTTTTTTTTATCATCAGATTCCATGACTTAGCAGCATAATTAGCTATTAGACATATATACTCCAGTCAAGAGCTGCTTTTTAATTTTTTTTGTAAGCCTGCTTAATCTAGGGGACTTTCTTTTCTCCTTTATAGGGGAGTTTTGCACAGTTCTTCTGACAAGTGCAAGATAGCCAGTGGGAATGAGATCTGTAATTAATCCACTGAATGCTCAGTGCAGGCAGAACAGCTCTTGGGTGAAGAAACTCTTCATACTCTGGAAGGTACCTGACAGAAGGGCAAACACTGTTAGAATGGTAGGGTTTTTCATGTGGTAGATTTTGCACCCAGTAAATTCATTTCGAGTACTGTGGGCAGGAGGGAGAAAAATTCTGTCTTTCACCATTCCCCTGACTTTTGAATAGTCCCATGTGCATGATTCTGCACTTCCTCATGGAGAGCTGATTCACTGGGTTTCTAGGAGCAAAAATAAATTGAGCTTGAGTCCAGTTTCCCACCCTTTCTTGTCGGTGTGTGTGTTGAGGGGGTGGTGTGTTAAGAGGGAGCACTGAGAGCCTGAACTGTGGGAGGTCCAGATTCAGCCCTGGCACTGCCAAGCTGTGTGAATTTGGTCATGTCTCCTCCCTGTCCTTTGGCTTGGCATCCATAGAAATAACTCCAGAGATTTTGTGGTAAAATGGGAGCCCCTTGGCTGCTGCTGTATTAGGGTTTGTCACAAAAGTGTTAAACGTGGTGGGAAGCACAGAGTGAGGACGGTTGTCCCTTTCAATTAAACTGTTCTTTTATGTAACACTGCTTGGTTTACTGTTCAGGAAGTATCTTGGTTTCTTGGCTCTCTGGCTGCTGAAGTACCTGCCATTTATTGCAATTTACTTGGGGGACTGTTCTCCAACTGCCTGGTGTTCTTGGACCAGACTCAACCCCCTTTGATTCCTGTTGTCCTTTTGTCTTTGCTTACTTGGCTCTAAACATTTTGTTCCTGAACAGAGGCCCAGGTTCTCCTCTCCCCTCATGCTGCAGCAAATCCAAACACTGCTTCCAAAGCAGTTCATCAAGAAGCATTGACACACTTGAAGGGAATTACTACTCTTGATTTTTACTTTTTCCAAGTTTTGTCAACGATTCTGTACTGCTTTTCCCAAGTGTTCCTGTATTAGTTGACTACACTTTGCCTGGTGATAATTCACATTATTTTTCCAGTTACCTGATCCTCCTTCAGTGCTTTGTAGTGACAGCAGAAGCCACACCAACAATGGAGTTTTGTGTGCAGCTGCCTGACTCCTGGTTGGATATCCCAAAATCCAGGCATGTCCACACAGCCATATTCTCAAGGCAAACTCACTTATTCGGTCGCAAAATACCCAAAACATGGAGTGAAGACAGATAGGGAATGGGGCAAAGTCTGCAGGAGTGCTGGCTCTCCAGTTTGGATCTGGAGGCAAGACCTCTGCTAATGGTCTCCTGGTGGAGTTTGCCAGAAAGGAGGAACAAAATTATGTTCTTGATGTAAAAACTGCTTTTCTATTACCTCTCCTGATCTCCAGGGAAGAGTGGAGTTGGCAAAAAATGGAAAATAATTAAGGTCTGAACAGAAATAGTAACTGTCCCGAGGTGTTCAGTGTTATTCTGTCACAGCTTTCTTCAGACTGAGTCCTTTTCCCATTTTGTTGCTACATTCTGTGTCAAAAGGTCTCCCAAAGTGACATTTGGGCTAAACTGCTGTTCTCAGCTCCTCTACACTGTGGCACTCTGGTCACATCAGCAACTGCCTGTGCCTGGAACTGCTCTGCCTTCAACCACCTGTCCTTTCCCTGGGTTTATGGCAGAGCTTGCACCAGTATCCCAGTCTGAGATGAAAAAACCAAACCCTAAACCACAGACAAACACAAAAAGACACCCACCCCCACCCCCCAAAAGAGTGGTGACTTTCCAGGCCAGGTTGGATGGGGCTTGGAGCAACCTGGGCCAGTGGGAGGTGTCCCTGCCCATGGCACAGGGTGGGATGAAATGGGCTTTAATGTCCCTCCAACCCAGCCCAGTCTGGGATCCAGCAGCAACTGCTCTGACCGTGGAGCTGGATGTGAACAGGCTCTGCTCCTCTCTCCTGGATAGTACCAGAATTTACAGGAGTTGAAGTGTGCCCTGCTCAGATCGAGGCCTCTTTAGGGCTGTGCAAAACTGCAGCAGATCCCATCCAAAATCTCTTATTTTGGATTGTATTTAGCCTTAACAGCCTGATCTCAATATTGCTGGGAGGAGGAAAAGTGTTAACCCTGTTTTGTAAATGGCCAAAGCTGCAGAGGCTGAAGTGGAGCAGGGACTGTAATCCCTAATTCTAAATTCTCTATTAAAACCCTAATCCCTGGGCAATCCTTCTGCTTCAGGCAGAGTTGGGGATGGATGTGGTATGATTTATCTGAAGTGATGCACCTGCCACTGTTTAAAGCCACTTATTTTCCTTGTAGCCCTGTGTCAGTGGCTTTTTTATTTTATTTTTAATTTTTGACTGCCAAATTCATTTTTTGCTGGAGTGATTAAAAATTGAATTGTTTGCATTTTGTAGGTCTCTGTTGGAGTCCTGTAGTTCAAATACTTCAATAAGTTCCATGTAGACTAACAGTATCCTGGGACTGATACAGGTTGATGCCTAGACTGGATAAAGAGGAAAAATCCAAGCACGTGGTTTCCAGAATTCACTGGCTGGTGAGAATCAAAACATCTCCTGATTTGCCTGAGGATCTTAATTTTTTTGGAAGATATTTAATGGGAAAAGGAAGAAAAATACAGATACTTCACAGAGAATATAGACAGAAAAGAAGAGCAGGATGGGGGGAGTGTGGAAGTAGGTCAGATGCATTGCAGACAAAAAAAATCATTATTATGATTAGGAGAGATTAAGGAAGGCAAGAGCAAACAGCATCAAAGGAATCCAATTTATCAAGCCATTTAAACAAGAGCGTTCCTTGCAAAGCAAGTTCTCCATACTGCACATCAATTTGGAGCAAAATGAGAGGAGACTGTCCCACACTATATATCTAATTCAAGAGCTAGTCTTCTCTAAATTAATCCATGAAGAAACCTGTTTTAATTGTCGTGAGGAACAAACACTGCAGAACTGCTGCCCACCTTCCTTGCTTGAGTTCTTTCAGCTCTTTCATTTTTCAAGCTCTAATTACCACTTGGAGCTGCAGGTGAGGGATGCACTGGGGGGATGGCAGTGCTGCCTGACAGCACTCAATCAATCCCTGCTGCAGCACAGCAGGTGCTTCACATGAAATAAGGAGAGTCTCAGCTCCAAGATTTCATATAAAAGGCAATTTATAAGGGTGAAGTTATTTCATCTGAGGACATTAAGAAAGTTGACAATGACAAGTAGATTTTGTTGCTTAACTTTTGGGCAATGAGGAGCCTGGGAGATGTGACCAGATGTGACTCAGTCTCCTTTTCTGCCCCTTTTTTTTGGTTTTGATGAGCTTCTCTGTCCCATGTGCCATAACAGCAGGGATGTGGATTTTGAGTTGGATGGGGTTTGCTTGCCTTGTTTGTATCAGAAATACTGAATTCTGAAAACTGTAAGCTCTGTAAAACAGAACGTTCTTCTCCTCCAGCATGTTTTGGGTTTTTTTTGATGTACCAAAGAGACTTAATGGTAAACATAGGCAGTGCCTCTTCATTTGCAAGAGGCCTTTTGTAAGACAGATCCTGTGCTCCATGAATTCTGTTGTAATTGAGATTTTGGGGCCTGTGAGACAGACCTTGTGCTGGATGAATTCTCTGACTTCACCCCAAGCTGGAGTGCTCCTTGCATGTTTTTATCATTGGCTTGGGTCCTCCAGACAGAAACCACAACCTCTGAGCTGTTTGACAGAGCTCAAATGTTTCTTAGCAGGAGCAAGCTGTCAGAAATTTGAACAAGATGTTGATGTCTCTTAGCAGTGGGTTAAACACTGGCTGAACATCTGAAATCTCAGAGCTCTGCTGCCAGGGCTGGTTGTGCAACCTGAACCAGGCCCTGCAGAACTGCTGACTCGAGCCAGAGTGGGGGGAAAGTTTGGCATTTTAGAAGTTTTTCATTAACAACACATTTTATGCCACTCATTAGTTGCCTATTCAGGAGGAACTGGGGGCTGAAGAATGCTGAAATTTCCAAGTATTGGTTCCCCATCCAGCTGAAGTTACAGCTGGAGCATCCTCAGCCTTCCAAGACAAGAAGTCGATTCTTTTCTGCTGCTTTTGCAGTGATTTGGGGCAGTACAAACCCAGCCTGAGTGAGCTCCTTTGTTCCTGGCTGGCTGTCACATTGTCACTCTGGCAGGGTCACCCTTCAGGTCCAGGCACTGCCACAACTCTGCTCTTTGTACAGCAGATATTTCTGAGATTGAGGGAAATAACCTGACTCTCCTTTGTTTGGGCAACAGAGTAAGTGTGTGGGGAAAATCTCATCCCCAGTCTTGTCTTGAACCTCTTCCAAAGATTGGCATAAATGTGGAAGCAAGATATTCATCTTTTTATCTTGATGAAACTCCAGATCCTGATGTTTTTATGCATGTTAAAGGCTTCCTTCAAGTCTTGCTGCCACAGCTCTGACTGGTTTAAGTTGTTCTGGAGCTTCTAGGTTCAGTAAAATGATGGTAAATTATACCTGTATGATTTTGGTCCATTTTGGCTGTGTGATTTTTGCCTGACAATACCAGGGAACTCAATCTCAAGGGTCTGTGGTCCAGCACCCTGTGCAATCTCGGGTATGAGATCCCAAGGTTTAGCATTTCAAGCCCTGCTTTGGAGTGCAGTGTTGGGGGTTGATCCAGTCTGATGGTATGTGGGCTTGGAAGGAGAAAGGGAGCAGCAAGGCACGAAGCACAGCTGCTTCTTATAAATCAGCACACTGGAAACACACTTGAATCACATTGTGGAAAAGAATAAGGAAAAATTAGGCCTTACCACAATTGTCTGGATATTTGGACTCTGTTTCTAAATGTGCTACTGACTCCTGTGACACCCTGTAAGTCCTTTTAAACACTGTGTGCCTAAGGTTTCCCATTTACAGGAACACTGGCAATGGTTTAAGACTTAATTAATGTTGATGAAGAACACTGCGTTGCTGCGAGAGCTGCTGGGAAAAAGGGCAAGTCTTGCCATTATTATTACTATTAGTATTGTTCCATCTTGAAGCTGTCAGATTACATAAATCTGGGCAGATGCCTGAAAGCATTGTGTGCAGAGGGAAGCTCTCTAAAGGAACGAATTCCCTTTTCCTTTGTCTTGGACTAAAATATCATAATTGTATGGGAAGGTAGGACAGCTATTGCTGAAAAGGAGGTAGAAAAGGGTAGGAAGGAAGATAATGCACCTCTAGAAAAAGAAGACATGGGAGGGAGCTTCCTCCAAACCGATAAAGGAACAGGAATTATCTCCAAACCGGCCGGTGAGAGTGTCCAATAAACACTTTGACATTAAGGGACTGTGAGACAAAGGCTGTTCCCTTAACACCCTGGAGTCTGAGATAATAGCATTAAATGGTATTTCTTTTTCACCTGAAAGTCTTAAAGGTGTTTTAAACACATCAGCTCGACACCCAAACTCATTTGCCTTCTCTGTGGCAGTCTGGCCTAACTGATCCATAAACTTTGTGCTCAGAAGTTGAAAACCTTGGCTGTTTCTGTGGGAATTCTATGGGGATTCCACAGGGTACTTTTAACCAAATGTGAACGTGATGGACAGAATTATATTGGAGATTAATAGAGCTATAAAAGAAAAGTATTAAACCATGCTGCCCAGCAATCCTGCAGTATTAGGAGTTCCCTAGACACGTTCCTTTCCTGAATCCCTCTCCAAGGCCTAATACAGAATTTTTAGGCTCTTTCTAAGGCTGCCCCGTTTGTTGCATTGCTCCGTGAACTGCTGTGACATTGCTGCTTTTTGATGGAATTACTGGAACTGGAATCACCAGTGGTGCCATTATTCCTTATATAGATGATTTAATTACAGCAGTGAGATGTTACAGGGTTAATTAATTGTTGCTTATTAAATGCTTTGAGACCTTTGAATGAAAGATGCTCCATATGTGCAAGGGATGATTATTAGTTATTAACAGTGATGCTCCCAGCCATTTGCAGGATAAAAACAATTTAGTTCCATTGTGAAATATTAAATTTACAGTCTAGTTGGATTCATGGCACATTTCAGGTTGCAAGTGCAAAGCCAAGTGTGGTGATGCACTGTGCCAAATTTGGCCTGTGGGAGTGGTTCCCATCAGCTTTCCTTGGAACAGAAAGGAGCTGGGAATGCAGCAGGTTGCAGAAGCTGGAGGAGGGGGTTGTGTGGGTGGAGGTTCCTGAGCTTCTAGTGAAATCCATAGGAAAGGGAAGAGCTCACAGGAATAGTGAGGTACAGATTTAATGATCTCTAAACCATGGTCATTGAACAGCATCCATTGGCTTGTGGGCAGCGTTGTGGTTCCGTTGCCTTCAGAGCCACCTTCTCCTTTGGAGGCTTTTCCTAAACATTCTCTCCATCAGCAGCAGTGAGAGGCTTGTCTGAGCTCCTGGACTGTGTATCTGGGTGGAAAATCAGGCTGCCTAAGCCTCTGCTATTTATCCTGGCACTCAGGATGCAGTGCTATGTCTAGAGAGATATTTCACCAGTTCTCAAAATTTAATAACTCAGTGTGTCAAAATATGAGCTGTTCAATTGCTGGAATTTCGTTACTCCTTTCAGAGAGATCTCTGTTCCCTTTGCTCCTTCTTGCCACATTTTTTCTTTCTTATATTGAGGAATGAACATATTTACTGATGAGAAGGAGGAAGAGGCAGAATTCTGTCCTTTTGTTGCTTCCCATGAATGAGCACAAAGTGCCTTATGAGGCTTTTTCCATACATGGAGGTTCAGGATTTGCCTCCATCCCTGAGAGGAGCCCACTTGCCATGGGGGTGTGTGTGAATGTTCTGCAATGCCTCAGAGTGGAAGGGGGCAAACACAAAGCAAGCTCTGACTCCTGTCCAAGGAAAGAAGACTGACATTCAAATGAGTGGCAAAGCCTTGTTTTGTGCCTCTAGGAAATGATCCCTGATCACTGCAGCAGCTCCTCCGGTGTGACCCATCACAAAGGTGAGCACTGGGCATGGCTGCAGAACAAGGGGTGAATGGAGGGGCCTTAAAACATCCCCTGAGCTGGAGAACCTGGGCAGGGGGTGTGAGTGCCCACAGCTCCTGCTGGATTGCACTGAAGGGTCTGCTTCAACTGAGGACTCTTGGATGTGAGAGAGAACCAAAGGAGTTGCCAAAGGGTGGGTTGGAACCCCTGCAGCACATTTCTAAATTCTTTAGCTGTACAAACCATCTTACAGGTAGAGCTGGAGCCCTAAAATAACATGTCTGGTGGCTGCTACACACCTTAGGGGCTTGGTTCCTGCATTTCTAACCTTTCATCCAATCCCTCTCCCAAGGACAGTGTTTGTTGCTGGGGGGGGGAGGAGAACTGCCCTGTTCCTGCTCAGGAATTCTGTGCAGTACATCTGAACACCTGAGTCACTCTGCATATGCACACTGGCTGTGAGCTGCATGGTTAATGGCTCCAGAGTTCCCTGCCAGGCTCAGTCCTGCTCTGCAGGCGCTGTAGGGATGAGCTTAATATACCCAATGGATAAGTTCAGGAGTCCTGGACACAGAGCTGCCTCATCAAAGCTGCTGCAGGATACCCAGAAACCTGGGAAAGTGTATGTGTTCTTCATTCCTGCTCGGATAAAATCTGCTGGAAGGAAAAACAACAGCAAAACCAACAAAAAATCCTGTGTATCTGACAACCCTACAAAAAACCAAGTTGGTTTGGGGGTTTTGTTTGACTTTTTTGGGGTTGGTTTCTTATTTTCTTCATCACTGTTAAGCACTGAAGTGTGGCATCCAAATGACAGGGGTTTTAAGCTACATGAAAGATTGTCTGAAAGGTTCTCCCCAGTTAACTGGCACTATCCTCTGGAAAGTTTTCACCAGTTGTAATGGACCTAAACCGTTTTCTGTTATCATTGAGCAAAGATCTAGGTCTGTTTTCCAGCTCGATGGTTTAGGGGGGCTTATTTTCATATGAACTGGCTTTATTTCCAGAGAATGAAGATAATTGTAAGGGGAAATGCCTTCCTGAAGGTGTAGGAATGTGTATGGGACACCAGGAGGACTCAGCACCTGAACACATAAACTTCCTTGGGAAGAGCCTGTTGCTGTTTTCCTGCATATGTCCAGCAACTGGTACTGCTGGACCACAACTGGGGCTCTGAGATGCTCCTGAGGATGATAAAAATCTCCCACACATCATTGAATGAGTCAAGGAAAACTCCAACAAATATACTGTTCAAACTTTTCTATTCTGTTGGTGCAGGTTGGGATTTCTGGCTTCGACAGCAGGACAGGGGAGGAAGTCAGGGCAAATTCCATTGGAAAACCTGCTTCCCTTGAGCTGTCGTGTAGTATGAGATATTGCAAATGCTGTGGCAGGTAGAGACGTGCATTTTTCTCAGTTACTGCTACAGCCCAGAAATGCAAATGTTTTTTATGCTACAACTGTTTTGACTCAGAAGAATTATTCTCTTTCCTGGGCTCTGATCACCCCTCAACCAAGGTGTGCTGCTGGGCAGAGGCAGAGGGAGGATGGCTGGGTGCCCATCTTTGGGGGTGAGAGACTATTTTATTAAATCTTCCCGGACAGGGCGTTTCAATTTCTGGGGCTCCAGGGCTGAAACAGGCTCTGCTCCTCGAGGTGCCAGGAGGGATCTGCCAGGCTGGGAGGGGAATGGCACAGCCATTGCCAAGGGCTGAGCTCCAGGACTCAACTCACGCCGTGATTTCCCCACTGAGGTGTCAGAGACACAGAAATCCAGTGGGGAGACGCTGGTGGGTCACGGGAGGCACCGAGAGACGCGGCTGCACAGGGCAAGGCAGGAAATAAATTGGTTTTGCACAGCTGAGTTATCACACGTTGACTTACTAAAGGTGAGCTATAAAACTTGCAGAGTCTGGTTTACAATTTGCAGGATCTGGTTTACTATTTTATCCATGAAACCACTCTTTTAATATTCAGCTCCTGCTCATGGGATTGAAGGGGTGGGGAAAACCATCTGCAACATGATTAGCAGTGTCAGTACAAAAGAGATCCTTTAACAAGGTGTTATGGCAGTCTGTTGTCTTCCTCTGCATCAGCCAGCCCCTCCACCCCAGTGTCTTTATTTTCCCTGCTTAGTCAGCAGGTTCTAAAGCAGATTGAAAGCGAGGATGAAAGCAAACAGCCTAAAAATGCTGACTTCTCAAAGTGCTGCACCCTGTCATTCAGGCACCCAGGGACAGAAGTACTACCAACATCTTCCTCACAGCAGGCTTTAATCTCCCTCTGTGGAGAGGGAAAATAATTTACAAGCAGTGATGCTAAAATTAAAAGCTTAGAAGAAATAATTCCTCATTCAACCTAAAGTCGGTGGTGTACAGAACAAAGAGGAAAAAAGCAAACCCAGTCTAGTTTCCCCTTTTCTGAATATATTACTTTTTTAAAGCCTGGATGAATCAGCCTGGTGTATTAAACTCTCAGGGTGGTGGAGGG